ATCAGTCTCTTGTCGTTTTAATTGTACTTAATCTCCCGTCAGGCACGCGAAATCTGGCGATCTCGTAATCAGAGACTCCGCTGGCGCGTTTTGCATTTCGCCGCGCTCGCAATTCAATTCTGTACATACCTTATTCCACGTGTGCGCGCGCTCCTTTTTTTTTAATCTTTCCTCGTAAACGACGACGAGCTCGAATTACACCGCTTTCATACTCGCATAATCAGATTTTCCGCGAACTTTATCCGATACCGTTGCGCACGTCTCTTAATTGCTCGGCAAACGAAAAAAGACAGCACCGTTGCATCCCTCTGCAATATTGATTTCCTATTTTTATAGAATTTCGTTATTATAACGGTTTTTTTTTGTTTTGCGAGAGCATATTGTTACAGTTACACGAGAAAGGGAGGGAAGGCTTTCATCTGAAGTACTTTATGCTTTCTGTGTAAAATATTTTACGTCGCACATCCATTTGTAATTGTGTTAATGTAGATTAATATTTTCACGTATGTTCTCGAATCATGAAGTCCGTAGACCTCTTCATTCTCTTATCTTCTCCCCTGACGAGGTGAGAGAAGAGTCACCCTGCTAGGCTCGGAAGTAACTAACGTCCCCATTGACTTTTACCACTCGAACAAACAATCGCACCGTCTCCCCGCGCGACTTTGACAATAAAATCTTGGTATCAGGATGTTATCCATGATTTATTTACCTGAGGGTACGCCGGGACTTTATCGAGTAGGTGCGAGGTACGTGACATTTCTTGGGCAGATTTTTATAGCCGCCCAGGAAATTTCCCGGTGATTTATTTTACATCAGCCTGGCACGTCGTAAAGATCGCTCGCTCGCGGGGCAACTCGGTTCGCCAAGGCGACAGTGTAGCACCACTTACCGAACATTTCAATTGAAATGCGATCGCACGAACGAGAAGTATATCTTTCCGCTAGTGGAGGCTCTCCTGTTTCTGGCAGCCGGACGACGAGCGAAAATAGATGTTCCACCAAATTCCCTTTCGTGACCGTAAGATTCCATTACTGACGTGGGTCCGACGGACGTCCTATTAATCACGTGGACCTCGTTTTTTCTCAATTACGCGACGATAAATTGCCGGTGTTCATATATGAGCCGCGATTAATTAAAATTAATCATTTTCAGACGGTGTAATAATGTATCTTGACGAGCAGTGATGAAAGTGTGATAAAAGAAGACTTAATGCTCTTCGTACTTGGAGAAACGTCACGATGGAAACCTGCGACATTGTTATTTTATCAATACTCGATTTCGTCCTTATTATCGCATTCTATTTCACATCGCAGATCCGTTAACTGCAAGCTGCTGTATCTATCGTCGTTAGGTGTATCTTCTCCCATAAATTTGAATACAAAAATCTAATTTTTTTGAGAGGCACGTAAACGTGTACACGCATACACAAGTTGTCTCGTAGATCAGTTCTTTTCTCTCCTGGAGCCGAATACATTTTTCGCGCGACCATCAATCGCCGCATATAACGGCTACGTAGAGCGAGAAAAGTTTATTCCCACGATTCGCCGGGACAATGATGAGGACGATTTCTTCCGGTAACTCTGTACCGCCATCCATCGCGCGAAATATCCTCGCGCCCTTATCTCCCTGAGAGAAGTGCAATATCGTTCGACGTGGTTGTGGAGGCACCTCCGTGTACAGACGCATACGTGCGCTTGTACGCGTCCTCAGATCGCAGAAGTACGCGAAATTCCGCGCGGCTCTCATCGACGTTACAATAACCGCGATATATCCGGACGGGGCGAGGCTGTTTCTTTGCGATACGACGACGACGACGACGACGACGACAACATGGGACCTCCGGAAAGGAACCGTGGGGGAATGAGACGATGGGGATTGTTGAATGTGACCTAGTAAGTGGGTGCCGCCACCGTTGGCGGTGCAACAATGGCGAAATATAAATCTAAATCCCAACCGCCATCCTTCCTGCCCTCCTTTCGCCCGCAGCCTCCTTTATCTTCCTCTTTCGTCTATTCCGCGAACCTCCGGCACCGACGACGGCGCTTCGTCGTCCTGGTGGCCGGCGCGCCGCTCTTTATCCGAGAATTTCTCTTGCGGCATTCAGTTCCTGGCCTCCTTCGCGCTTCCTACCTCTTTATGCCGCTCTCGTCTCTCGGGCCTCTGTCTTCCGCTTTAATTCGCTCTACGCAGAGCTTCTTTATTCTCAGACCGCTTTGGATTCTATCCGCGTACGAGTCGTTCCGACAAGATAATGGGCGACAAGTTAAACAAGGAGTAAAATAAAAAGAAATATCCCAGCCCAACGAGCGTTATTTTTTTTTATTATCTTTGCTTTTTCTACATTCTTGCAGATTCATTCTTTTATATGTTTATATTTTTGCATTTCGCGTATGAGCTTTATATTGCCGTGCGGAAAGAATTCCAGAATTTACAGGAATTCCTTTTATTCGCGTCAGCATTTTTCTAAATATTTCCACTCCTGCAATTTTCTACCGAATTGTGGAAGAGTCGAGTAAATTGAAAGTTTGAGAAGCTTGTGGGGATAAAAATTATCACCATTGAAATCCTGCGAAATATAAGCTATATAAAGTTAAACGTATTAATCCTATAATATCATGTCTCTTTTTTCATGAGTCGTAATTTAAGAGACAACTACTTTCACATGCTCTAAGATTTTTCTTGTAGAATTGTAATATCGCTTACAAAACATTTAACTTTTACAGAATTAAGTATTTTTGTAATTTTTCTTGTATATCGACGAAAGACGAATTACGGTGTTTCAACATTGGCAGTTGATATTATTTTTCCTTTCCGAAACTCATTTGCTTTACACGATATAATTGTTTGATAAAAAGGCTATTGGGAGATTAAACCGCTTATTTCTCAAATGTTAACTGTGATAAGATAGGAGATTCCTCGCGGCATTTCTATTACATTTCTTTTGCTAAAATCTGCAGATGTTACGTCATGTCATGTTATGCCGTACGATGTGACCGGTACGTGCGCGGACCTACGAGACCATTATCTCGGATACCTACAAGATCATCTCCTCGGACTAATTCCTTTCTTCTGACCTGTCCCGCGTATCTGTCCTTGCGTCTCGCTCCAACATCTTTTGCCTCCGTTCTTTTTCCCAACGGTGCGTGTCACGAGTTCTCATTCTTCTTGAGGCCGTCTCTTCTCCCGCTCTCTTGCGTCTTCCACTGATTTCCCACCGGTCTTTCATTTTATTTCACGTTTCCGGCACTTCCGTCCAGTAGTATTTACTTACTATTAACAAAACACGCGCGTGTGTTATACACGTCCTTCAATATTTGTTCTGCATTTATTTTCGTCGATTTTATCTACCCCTTGCACTCCACGTTTCACTGTGTAATTTTGTCTGCCGCAAGTATCGCCATTTTTTTTTACCTTTTTTCTCCCCTTCTCGGTTAAGACATCTTGTGATCTGACTTTCTTTCACGATCTTGCTTTTTTTTTTTAAAGTTACTCCGTCATCCAATCCAGTTGCTTCTTTGTTTTAAGACTTAACTTTAGTCTAACGAAGTATTCTCAGTCGCTCTTATCAAGGACTGCTGTCTATTCATTCGCATCTCTTGATCTCGTCGTCTCGAGTCACCAATCTTTGTTTTTTCCCCATCTCTATTTATTATACTCGCCTTCTTTCGAGTTCAGTTTGTACACGAGTGCTCTGTGTCACCGTTCGCGTCACTTCTCCCGTATTTTTCCAATTTACCGAAGATCGTTTTCTTTCTTGCCCGCGATCGACTGTGCCACCGGCCTCCCAGTAACTCTCCATCGGTCGCGCACGGTATACTTGCTGCATTATCGTTCGAAATGCACGTCCACTTTAATCTCCTCGGGGCTCTCTTTTGCTTTCCATATTTATCCATTTTATTCGGCTCACATGTTATCCCCGAATGCACTTCATCTTTGCATTCGCATTTCTTGAAATTCTTCAGTTTACATTTTTCTGAATGCACTTGGTATTTTCCAATTTGAATTTTTCGTTATCTTTTTCTCTTGTTTCCGTCACGTCGAGACACGTTACTTTTCGCACACCTTTTCCAATCTAGTCTTGATCTACTTATCTTAAGTATCTATCCGATTTCCCCCCCCCCTTTTTTTTATCAGTAGTTCGCGTCGCCGTTTCTCTCCTTTTCACTCATCGCCCGATGTTTCACTTGGCGCCGGCAACATCAAGGCTTCGCATTTACTCCCCTTTCATCCACTTCGTGAGCGCCGCTCAGCCTTACCAATCCTTTTTCCTCATTCTCCCTCCCGTCGACGACTTTATCTGTCTGTCCCCCAACAAATATGTACTCTCTTTTACTCGCATTTACGACGAGTCGAACGTTTTATGCGTCTTTCTCGCTGCTATGCGAGTCGCGAATATCCATCAGCGCGTCGAGTGGATGTAACCCATCCCTCGGATGGATGTGTAAAAACGTTTTACAAACCTTTGCTGTAGGCATTTCGATATAAAGTATCCTGACATTGCCCTGAATTTATTACTTATGAATATAAATAATTATCATTTCCATATCAATATTGCAAAAGTCAACGAAGCATCCTATGTCTTATTAGGATGCTCTGCTGCTCCTAAATATATACGATATTAATGGGTTAGATTAGAAATATGTACAGTTCTTTATACGATATAGTATTTTTTTTTAAATATAAATGTCACGGTTTAATATAACTTTCAACAAATAACAATTTTCAAACTGGATTATTTTTAAAAACTATCCATCGCATCGCAGAAAGTCATAACGAGTCCGGCTGGTTGTTTTCATATTTCAACATAAGTACACAACACTCGTTATGCGATCCGAATGGATTTTAATACACTCTCTGTTTTTTAACATTATCTGAGCTAAATAAAATAAATATATAACATTAAATATATAATACAGAGCACGTTATTCGATCAGTGCATATATTTTACAATCCAGTATGTAGATATTGTGCGTACATGGCGTGTTTTTTTTTCTGTGCAGAAATCGGTTGGAGAGCAACACGGAACACTGGAACGCTTTACTACTATCGTTGCGCGAGCTCATCGAGTGGGTGATAAGGAAAGACACAGAGCTCACCGGCCTGGGACCCGTTTGCGGCGACGTGGCTGCTCTACAAAAACAACAGGCAAGTAGTCGAATGCTGTCTCGCGCATAGATTACCTGGTTTCCGCTTCGCCGCGCCTCCAGTTAGTATAAAGTCCGTATAAAATCTGTGGACGTACTTTAGTCAGCGTTTATTCGCTATCTTCGTGAGACGAGCATACTCCATTTAACATCCTTTGGTTCGCGGCAATAGCGTCAGTCCCGAAACTTGAGGATTCCAGCCAAGTTACTTGGATATGGCTTATATACCTGAAATCGATTTCGTATAATCGTCCTCCGAGAAGCTCGCAAGTTTCCGCCTCGCAAACTGATTGGACGAATAGAATATAATTACGTATAAACTCATGCGCTATCAGGCGCGTGCTCGACTGTCTCTACGAGACACACGACAGTTCATCCGGAATACGGATATTTACGTATTCTCATCACGTTTGAGTATTCCGTTTCCTCATGGAAACGTGAGTCTCAATTACTTCGCTGCTCTTACGTCAATCGTGCGCTAAATGCCTCAACTAAATTCGCTGCTGATTAAATGAATTTCCGGTTCATCGAGTCCCATCGGGCAGAAATATGTCGTTTATTTCAAGAGATCTTTTCTAACGCTTTTAAACGAGGCGTCGCCTTTTTATAAAACGTTAAAGCAATCGATTGACTTTTTTTTTTTAGAATTACCGCCGGCCACGTTTCAGAGCACTCTATTTTAACATACGTTGTTTTCAATTATTTTTATTATTCCCTCCGTTAACTGCGTATTCTTTTAAAAATTCAATATGCTCCGTGCAGCGCGGTCGGAACTGGGTGTACACACGGTGACTCGCACAAAACCGATGAAATATATTGTACTACGCAGTAATACATCTGCGACTAATTGATTCGGAGAAGGCAATCGGACGAAAACGACATTTCAGGCCCACTTTTTCACTTTCTGGTTAAAGCCAACGGCACACGATACTATTTTTCCTACTGGATTGCTTACGGCAGCCAATCAGGATTTAGCTTTAAGTCACCTAAATCTCAAACTCTGCATCCTTGTCGGTAAGCAATCCAGTAGGAAAAATAGTATTGTATACCCATTAGCTTAACCAGAAGTTAGTCGATTCTCTGTCTTTTTTAAAATAATATAATATAGAAAAAATGGACTAGCCTCTGGTTAAGAGTTAACCAGAAAATGGAAAAACCGTGCCTCGGTATCAATACGTACAGGGTGTCCCGGGAGGAAAGGCCCAGCGCCGTGCGGTGCTATGATGCAAAGAGGCGACCGCATCAGGCGGCACTTTCAGGGGGGCGGCAAAATCACTGGACTACATTTAACAAAAAATTGAAATGCAGCGATTTTATTCCTATGTATATTACTCATCTGCGCTTATTGTCGGTACCATTTGCAAAGGCGAGCGTTCGGCGCCGTTAGATTTTTTATCTGAGGGCGCAAAGTGTTTGTGATATACCGCGCGCGGCACCGCGGCCGCTTTTTAAGAGCTTGGCGGTAGGCGGCATGTATCACAAAAGACAAAAGACAATTGCACGTGTTAGATTTTTACTTATTCTTTGAGATGGCGATATTTGATTTTCATGTTAGTTGGTCTCCAACAGCAGACTCTTCAACAAGTGTCAGTACTTATTCAGGAATTTGCAAAATGTAGAGTTCGAAGAGTGAAATTATAGTCTATGTATGTTTATGTTCAAGTTTATACGAGTTTATATTTATTTATAGAAAATTAATGTTACCTTTGAAAATATATTATATAAATATATTATTTTCACATTTTTCCGTAGTTTTTTTTAATCACAAATATGGGGGCGGCATTTCGAAGACTTGCATCATACTGACAAAATACACCGCACGGCACTGGAAAGGCCAATATTTTGGGAGGTGATAGTCGGCCATTTTAAGCAAAAATGTTCATACTTGAATGTCTCGTGTATTTACTTTTTTTTCTGTACACTTCACCCCTTCATCCAACCTCATAAACGTCCGCGGAAATTTACTCTTACACGTCTGTTGTGCCGATTAACATTGTAGAAATATTCAAAATGCCTCGCATATTCACAAATGTCGGACGAGCAGCACGCCATGTTCACACAAGAGTTGAAAAATGCATTGTTGTTAACGGTGGCATTTTTTTTTAAATTTATTACGATCTATAAAAATGCGTCACTTGAACAATAAATACTAGAAATAGTACGTAGTATTTCTTTCTTGTCAGTAATTTCGCAACTGTACATTCAACTGGCTCTATCTCGGAAACAGTGGGGAATGGGACATACAGTCATATGAACATTTTCGCTTAAAATGGCCGATACTACCACCTCCCAGAATATTGACCTTTCCTCCTGGGACACCCTGTATAACATAAACAAATATCTGTGATCTTTCCTCTCTCGCTGTCTCTCTCTCTCTCTCTCCCCCCTCTCTTTCTTACTTTTGCTACAGATACATGTCTTTGTACGCGAATCTTGAAAAGAAACGCGTAACAATAGCGCGATTCGATCAGTTTCCTGAGTCACTGTATGTGTACGCATGGATATCCTTCGCGCGATAATGTACAAAGGCGCACTAGTTTGGATTAATCCAGATTAGAGCACGCGTGTTGCCGGCATGCAGAAGCGCCTGTACCACCGATGCAGGTAGTATCCGAGTGTACGGAGGTGATAAGCCGCATGTCGCCCGACCAGATCATTGATGTCATCGTGCGGCCAGATCTGTGTGTGTATTTGTCACTCGCGCCGGAGAATGCAGGAAATGGCCATCGATTATCCTTAATTACTCAGGCGGAAGGGTAAGGTGCTCAACCGTATACTCATCCGATTGCCTTCATATAGATTGCGCATCTCATAAACGCGATCGCTTTGAAATTCAATACAAAAATCATATTGATTCGCCGCACGATCCGTTAATGAGAGAATATATTTTAACGGTGCATACTTTTGCATCCGTCAGTTCAAACGGAGGAGAAAGAAATTCCTTTCGCTCTCTCTTATAATCCTGTCGTAATTAAATTTGCAGAAATATATTGCAATTGCCCGTATAAATTGTTAAATGTAATACTCCCTTTAAAATCCTTCTCTCTACCGATGCTGAGTTTATTTTTATATTTTCGATAAACGACGATTCTCTAATATATGAAAATTTAGTCACCGTACATACGCATGGATGTTTCAGTCGTTGTTTATCACTTTTTTAATATCTTCTGTAATTACGATACATGCGAGATGAGCAATCAAATTGTCGATTGTATGCGCGTGTGTTCGAATCTCTCTTATGCATGATAAAAAAAATACAATAACAAAATACCTCAGCACTTGGTGTTTCAAAGAGTCGATTTAGAATCGCAATGATGTTGCAGTCGCCTTCACTCACTCGGGATTTACACGGCGCGAAAGGAAACAGCGCCGCTACACGCGTTACCTGTATTCCTTGCAGGATCGCATCAGGCGCGGAATATAAATTCGCGCACTGCAACACGGGGCTACCGTCTCCGATTGTTTCTTAACGTAATTGTTTGTCCCGGCTTTCACGTAGATCCAATTAAGCCCATTACCCCGTCGACATTTCGCGCGTCTACTTTTCTCAGTAACTATATAACTCTTTCTTCAGCTCCTCATTAGTCAAATAATACGATTGAAGTGAATAATTATCGGTGACGAAGTCATTGCGAGATTATTGCCGCGGTTTGAAATTTGATGCGCCGATCGTCACGTATTGGGAAAATGCGGTTAATGCAAATCGATTATATACGGATTTAATTTAAACGATTTGCCGGTAATTAATAAATCCTGCCCTCATGCATATGCGTCGCGCGATTCTAAATAATTCCGCGAATATCCTAAACGTATCCATATGCGAAAACCTGGGACGCTCGCCTCGAGCGATTTTAATTACACGTCGTTAATTTAATTAGCGTTTGACGTTGGGAAACGTGCCATTTTTCTTGAATAGTTTAATTCACTATGATGACGTTACGAACGTTGAGCTTTTATTTATGTATAATCCTTTTAAATAATAAAACAAGTTGCCTTTAGTAGTCGGATACAATAATAAAAGTAATCGCTTATAATTATATCGCGATCAAAGTTTAAGGAGCTGTTGGACTTTACCGACTGACGTTTCCAAGAATTATTTTAATAATTAAAATTGAATAATATTTGAGTCAATGTACTTTGAAGTTTGAAATCGGTTAGTAACGACATTATTTTAAAGAAATTTTAAGATTACTAGGCAACGAACAAATTAAAGAGAGATAAATGTATTTGATGTTGGTACAACGATAATACGATGCAAAGCTCCAATTTTATTCTACATTATTTTTAACGCTATTTTAACGTGAATATATTCGTTAAAGTGTTTTCTGAAATAATACTTAAAATCTGTCACGTCTTGCGTACAAGACTTGCCTTAAAAGTCCATTTTCAATCTCGCATTTCCGATTTTTAATTGTAGACTAAACATTTTGTATATGTAATGGTCGGATGTGCGCTTACTTTTATCTTTTGACTCTATCTCACGGGTGACTTACTTGTCCATGAATTTTTCTTGTCTTCTTATTTGGCTCGTGAATTAATTTTCTTCTCTCTCTCTCTCTCTTTCTCTTTATTAAATGACTAATTAATAATTTTAATTTCTTATATTTTGTTGATTTGCGTAATTGCGATATTGTTAGTTGAAAAGGACCTGGAGTAAGGTCGAAACGTTGTAACGAATTCAATAAAATTTGCCAATTGGGTTGCTAACAAGCTCACTGTTTTAACTGAACCGCTTGTTCCAACGTTTTCGGGCAAAAGTTCGAAATCATTGACAATGCAAAACGGGAGGAAAATGAATTTTCGCTCGATCGGGGACCGCCGCAACGGCCGGGCGCCCATCTCGGCACCGAAGTCGAAACGAGAGACGCGTAATTAGAAGGCCGTTTATTGCGCCCACGCAATCGAAATGAAAGCCGATCGCGCGCGCGATTCAGTCGCCGTTGCAACGGCGTTGTAACGAGCGCGACGGCCATTCCTCTTGTGCGAACCCCCGTCCTGAAAATTCCATTTCGAGCACGCGGATCGATCCCGGGTCCGCGTCGCGTAAACCCGCGCGCGCGCGCGCGCGCGCCCGTAAACGGCATCGTTACACGTCCCGTTCGACGAGCCGTTCACGAGCGACGAACGGTTTCACGTACGCACCTTTTGCGCGCGGGCCATTTCGTCCGCTCGCCCGTTCGTTTCGCGCGCGTGCGAATATGGTTGATAAATCAAAACCGCGCCCGACGTCTCGTCGTTCGCGGCGTCGAGAGGCGGTATCGATTCGCGGGCGCGAATTCGACGGATTTCGCCGGCTCGCGACGGAAACACACGTCCGCGTATTCGAGCACGCATGTTTCGTGCGATCGTACTATTCGCGCGGCCGTTCCTCGCCCGAGCTCCCCGTCTTTCCTCCGCGCGGCGCGAACGCTCGGGTATTTTTATTACGGCCTTGCCGCCGGAATTTTCGCTTTTCACGCGAGGACGGTCACGCTCGGCGGTTATTTTTCGGCCGGGCACTTTGGCCGAATGTCAACCTCCGGAATTTATGCCGATGTGTTTCTTTCGGCTTCGCTGGAGAGAACCCGGGCCTCTCGTCGCCGGTGTTACCTCCATTGTTTACGGAGAGGTCCGTCGACGCTCGTAGCCCGCTGAAATATTTAACGTTCGTTTCTCTAACGGATAATAGTATCGACCGATACGAAATTCGTCCACTTCGTGGATGGATCGTAAATAAAGGAAGGCCCGCTTCCATCGGGGAGAAAATTGATTGATTGATACGTATTTAGAATGAGTCGGGCGGGTGATTGTTTACCGTCTAAATTCTCTTTTGTTTGGTCGCGCGGAAGCGGGAAATAGATGGATTACTTTATCCGCAAAATTGTATAACGCGTTTAAATTTAAAATAATTTCACCATTTGTCGCAATATCTACATGAAACATGAGAAAAAGAGGGCCCCTTTTTCACGGAATTCCGCAATGAAATTGTTCTGAAATAATTAAATCATTTATCGTATGAATATCCCGTTTTATTTGCCTTTTTACGCCGAGTATAAAATAGCAGACAAAGGACATTCTTCCTCCGTTGGGAGTTGTATATTAAAAAATTGTTCTGAAATAATTTATCTCCTCGGCGGGATGCGCAATACGAACTGCTGGGAGCAGTTAAATGCTGAAGATTCTCAGTGTCAGATGCTCGTATATTACTGCGATACACATCAGCGCATTGTTGCCTCGCGTTGTGTATATACCTCGTAATTAACCTCTCGCAATGATAACTACATTGATAAGGGGACCGTCTTGCTGCAAGAGCAATTAGAAAACGTTCGTCCGTCCAAGTGGACGGACAGCTTTAAATCGTTCTAATTTCTTAATTAACATCTTGACTCGTACAATTAAACGCGCATCCGACGTTTCTATGCGCACAATTTACAATGAAACTAGAAATATTTCTGGTTAATCCGCCTTCAATTGCCTTGTCCCGTAAAAACTTTTCAATCCTATTGACTTTGCAATAAATAATACATCTGTAAGAAAAGCATAATTCACACGTAGACGTATCATTTGTAATGGAAAAGCCTTAGAAGAGAAATCTGTACAATTGCGAGAGAGGAAAAAGTGAAAAATAACCGCAATGAGATTTCTATCACTCACTGCACGCCGCGTCGTCAGTCTTCGAAATGGGAAGCAAGGAAAGGAAATAACGACGAGAAATATAAAAATGATTAATGGCCCGCATATGGTGTGAAATCTATTTTATAGAACAATTTTATCAGTTTGTTCAACAATGGAATTTAATAATGTGCACAATCTTCTCACATATTACATCTCCTTTAAGATCGTCTCCGTAAAATCTCGTTAACCCTTTGAAGCTTAGTGGTAACCCGCGTTACCACCTCAACTTCTCTACTTTTTGGCCATTTAATTTCTAGTTAGCGCATTCAGGTCGGGTTTTTTTGCATTTTTGGGGTATCTTAGATATAAAAGAACATTAAAAAAATTTAATATTTATTGTAAAAGTTTTATAACTAAACGAATATGAAAAAACAGCAATTGTTTCGTAAAAGTTCATTATTGGCCAAGTTTTTTGAGATTATTTCTTGAAAATTTTGTACTAAGGGGTTTTCGGGATCGCTTATTACGAATCTGATGTCAGATTTTCAAAATTTAAACTGGCCGACCCAAAATGGCGGATGCAAAGTATGTGAATTTTTAAGTTTTCAAGTTTTTTTTAGCATTTTTGTTTGATTACGGTATTTAGGGACTCGTCACTTCCGCGTCGTTAGCTCTGGGTAATGCCAAGTATGAGTAAATTCTAA